TAGGATAGAGGAAAAGAGGATATTTTGTTTAAAATTCAAATAGGAGATAATTAACAAGCTTTATCTTAGAGATAGAGATTGGATTCCTTCTAGAAGTTTGACTTCTACTCTATAAATACTATTTTTGAGACAATTTTCGGAATGGTTTTTTGCCCTAATTTTAGAGGTAGCCAAAATTTCCCTATAGAAATTTTGGAAACAATTTTTCAGCCCTAAGAGTTAAGGCTGGCCGAAATTCTCAAGAGAGAAAGGAAGGAAAAAATTTTTCTCTAAAAATTCCACATCGTGCATGTGATGGTGTTTGTGAAAATTCGAGTGTTTATTGTAACCCGTTTTGTCTCATGTGTGTCCACACACACGTCTTCGTGGATTCTAGGAATTGATGTGGAAGACATTGGTTTTCTAAACACAAAGATTGGAGCAAGGACTGTTCGTGGTCAAAGAACTCAAGTTATCATCCGAGTCGGCTTCCAGGTATTTTTCCTGATTGAGTTCTTTATATATAAGTTAATGAGATTAATTTATTCGTGCATAAATTAATATAATCTATAGAGTATCTCAAAAGTTTTATGAAAATTTTTGTTATACACGATCCGCCTCCTCTTCCCCGCACCACCGCGCTTCCGCAGCCGGATTCGATTCGGCAACCAACATCCATCACCTATTTATCGTATGTCATCTTATATTCTAGCCCTTGGATCAAAGCTTATGTGGATAGATCCTAACCACTGATTCCTTATCTAGTATCTACCCTTGGATTACAAGTGTTTTGGCTAAATCTTGGCCATCGATGAAATTCCAATCTTGACACGTGTCTCCTTAATAGAAAACTTTAATTTTTTTTCTTTACTGATCTTGACACGTGTCTACTTAGAAAAAAATTTGAACTTTTCTTCTTTCCTGATCTTGACACGTGTCTACTTAGAAGTCCTGATCTTGACACGTGTCTACTTAGAAGAAAACTTAAACTTTTCTTCTTTCATAATCTTGACACGTGTCCACTTAGAAGAAAATTTAAACTTTTCTTATGCATCTATATGTTATCTGATAAGGCGGATATTATAAAGATGTACTAGGAATGGCAATTCGTGGGTCATGTTTCTGTCAATCCATTTATTAATCGTGGGTCATGTTTGTGTCAATCCGTTTATTAATCGTGGGTCATGTTTGTGTCAATCCGTTTATTAATCGTGTCAGAAATATGAACCCAAACGCGATCTGTTTATTAAACGTGTCAAAAATGTCAACCCAAACACGACTCATTTATTAATCGTGTTAATCGTGTCAACCCGTATAACTCATTTAAATTAATATATTGAATAAATAACTAATATAATAATGACTTATTTAACACAGTCATGACAGGTTTATCATGTTTATTGGTCTATTTATTTTTTCTTTTAAGAAAAATAAATGAATTTTACCAACAAATATTAAAATTCACATTATTTGTATTTAATATGTCATATAAACTTTCATGTTATATCACATATCATTATATTGCATATGACACGTATAGTTAATCGTATCAATTTGTGTCACTTCATGTTAGGAGGTCAACCCTAATCTAACTCATTTATTAATCGTGTTAATCATGTTAACCAGATTATGACCCAAATTCATTTATTATAAACTCAAACCTGCTAATTTCGTACAGATTTTAAATCGTGTGCCGTGTCGCTATCCAGATTATCAACCCTAAGATGTACTTCTTTTATCTGTAAACGACATAAAAATGATTGATTTTAGTTTTCCACCTTTCTCAGGATTAAAGATAACAACATGTCGTCTGTTTTAATTAAAAACTCAAAAATTGTGTTTTGTACTTCAGCAAAATATGAGGAAACAAAAGAATACACATTAGAAACTGAACCAACATAGGAAAATCCTGATCATTAGAAAATAAAAAATAAAAAGGAAAATCAGGACCAATAAATCTTCAACCCTGCATTTTTTTTTTAAAAATTTTTATGCAAGGCTAAGATCTAAAGGTTTAGGAACCACATGGTGATAGATTTTTATAACTCTCCAAATTTCTTGACGTTCATGTTATATCCAGAAGGTTCATCTCCCCTGGTTGGAAACTTCCTCAACTTTCTTCCCAAATGTATTTTTCACGTGCGCATAAAGACCTTTCCAGCCGATTTTCTCTCTTCCCAAACGAGCCTGGCAAAAAGCAAAAAACTGTGTCGTTTCACTATCGCCCGGAACCAATTCCACTAACTTTATGACACGTTGCAACATATTAGCCACATCTTTTTCTCTCCTTTTTTTTCCTTTTGGCAGAAATCTTGTCCTGATCTTAGCGGAAGGCAGCCCATTAGAATTATTATATTCTAAGTCGGGATAAGAATCATAAGATAATGGTGATTAATGTTTTGGCGATCGTCATTCCACAGAATTAACAAAAACGACAGTTCACAAAAACAAAAAAGAATTAATAAAAACGACAGACAATGATTGGGGGGCGGGCAAGTCACCAAGACGTGGCGCCACATGAGTGGTTGGAGTCGGTGGGACCCCATTTTCCATGGGGCGGTGGTGGTGAAATGAATGATTATGAATGGTCGGTTTGATCACACCTATAGTTGCACTCTCCATCACTGCAGTCTACAGTCGCCAAATAGTGGGACCCCCATTATAGTGTGTTACACGTGTCATCTCATGAGTGGATGAGCGACTCCTAAGTCGTCGTCGGTGACCTAGTTATGTCGTATTGCTTGTCATATAATTTCTCTGTAACTAGTACACTAGTTGGCTATAGTATCTAGTGGTAGATTTTCTTGTCCTATAAGAGTTAAAAGAAAAGTGATACCTTAACCCACAATGAAAGCAGTTTAGCAACATTCTTCTAATCAAGAAATAATAATTTGTTAATATTTGGTAATTATTTGGACCAAATACTAATAATAATGAAGGAAACTTCAAGAATATAATTTTGTTGAACAAAAAATTTGGTTAAAATAATTGTGCAAGTAGGAAAACATGACCCGTGAATTATGTACCAAAAAGTCATATAGTCACTAACCAATGCCCTTCTGGCAAAACCAAACTTTTGTTGAGAAAGAAAGAGTATATTAGAACTTGCTGGAATAGAAGCCCCACCTAATCTTTGTATAGGATTTTTATATAAGAAAGAAAAAAAGAAATTCAAAAAAAAAAAAGGTGGGGCCATAGAAATAGAAAGGAAAAGAAAATTGTAGTAATTAGAAGAATGGTCGGCAAAAGACCGAGTTTAATCGATGCTTTTAGTGTAAAGTCCTAGCAAACTCACTCAACTCAAACCACACACAAAACCCCATATATATAGACCCTTTAAGAGCCTCACTCTTCCACAAAAACATACACAACTTTTTCTTTCTTTTTTTCTCCCCCAAGCAAACGACACTCATTTTGTCACTTCTCTCTAACCAGTCCTTGATCATGGCAAAGGACAATGAAGGACACCAAGGAGGGTACGGGGCCAAGGACTACCAAGACCCTCCGCCGGCGCCACTCATCGACGCGGAGGAGCTAGGGCAGTGGTCCTTCTATAGGGCGATCATAGCCGAGTTTGTGGCCACTCTCTTGTTCTTGTATGTCACTGTTCTCACAGTCATTGGCTACAAGAGCCAGACCGATGCAGCCAATGGCGGCGACGGCTGCGGCGGCGTCGGCATTTTGGGAATTGCCTGGGCCTTCGGTGGCATGATCTTCATCCTTGTCTACTGCACTGCCGGCATCTCCGGTGAGTTAATTCTCTTCCTATATTGTCTTTGATTTATTATTATTATTATTATTTTTGAAGTTTTTGTAACATATAATATATATTTTGCTGCCTCTAAATGAAAAATAGAGTCCTCCAAGTTTTTGACACCTAGTATTTAAGAAAACTGTATGTTGTAATATATCATATTATAAATTCTCAATATATATATATGTATATATCATGTGTTAAATTTTGGGCACAATATATAATTAAGCTGTAAAATGTAACTTATGACCATGTACACAATAGGAGTTAGACCTTAATACTTGAAAAGTTAAAAGTTTGCGTATCTTTATGAGATTTTTTTTTGGGAATTATTTTTTTATGGGTTTTTAGCATAATTGCTTCCGAACGTGTTGTGATTTAGCAAATTATCCTCCTTAATTTTTAATTTTAACAAGTTACCTTCTAAATTTATAAATTTATTGCATTGTACCTTATTTAATTAAATTTGTTGAAATTTTTTATTAAATTTAAAAAATTAAAATTTGAGATATCGTAAGATTTGTGTTTCAATTAAATTAGAATGTTAAAATTTTTAGTTGAATGTGTTTTTTTTACACTAATTTAACACAATCATCGTCAAAATGAGGCATATTACAATAATTTTATAAATTGAGTGGACAGGTTACTAAAATTAAAAATTTGAGGGGCAATTTATTAAATCACAACAAATTGAAAGGGTAAATATGCTAAAAATCTTTTTTTAAGAGTTAGAAATACTAAAATGGTATAGTAAAATCAAATAATAAAGAAATAATACATAAATTTGACTAACATATATAAGGCAAATATTACTTAAAAATAGTCTTATATGAATGCAACACACGGTTCTGTTCTTTAAAAGAAAAAAAAAATAGATGTTATTATTCTTTTTAGGGAACAGGAGTTTATTTTTCAATCTACCAGGGATTTTTTTTTTTTTTTTGGTTGGGAAAATGAACCTTATCTCTGTTTTTCACAAAAAAGTTATCACTTTTGGCATGAATTATAGCTTATGGTATTAACCTATACCGAAAAATGCGCAGGAGGACACATAAACCCGGCAGTGACGTTTGGGCTATTCTTGGCGAGGAAGGTGTCGTTGGTCCGAACCATTTTGTATATAGCGGCTCAGTGCTTGGGGGCCATCTGTGGCTGTGGCCTCGTCAAGGCCTTCCAGAACTCTTACTACGACAGGTACGGCGGTGGAGCCAATTCTCTCGCCGATGGCTACAGCAACGGCACCGGATTAGCTGCCGAGATCATCGGCACATTTGTTCTCGTCTACACCGTTTTCTCCGCCACCGATCCCAAGAGGAGCGCTAGGGATTCCCATGTTCCCGTACGTACAATTTTTTATTAAAAAACGTTATTCATCGCCACTAGTGATACATCACATGTCACACTGTAACATTACTATAGTAACACATTTGACATTTTTTTTTATTGAATTGATAAAATGGCAGGTCTTGGCACCACTCCCAATTGGGTTTGCAGTGTTCATGGTTCACCTGGCAACAATTCCCATCACCGGAACCGGGATCAACCCTGCTCGGAGTTTCGGCGCCGCGGTGATTTACAATAAGGACAAACCATGGGATGACCACGTATGAATCTTTCCTTTATTTTATACCTTAGTATCATACACATTTCTCTTAATTATTGTTACATTTTTTTTTTTAATGATGCTCAATACCTTTTTTTTTTAATTATATTTCAGTGGATTTTCTGGGTGGGACCCTTCATTGGCGCTGCAATTGCTGCCTTATACCACCAATACATTTTGAGAGCAGCTGCTGTTAAAGCTCTCGGATCATTCAGGAGCTCTTCCCACACTTAATCTCTCTAATAATTAAGGGAAAAATATTTGGAAGACACAAAAAATGCTTTGGGAATGGTGTATTATGTATATTGGCTTAAGTACTAGTGGTAATTTGGTGTTTCTCTTTGTATTGGGCCACTTGTTTTAAATGTGTCCCCTAAAGCTGCATTTTCTTTGCCTCTTGTCTTTTTCTGCGTCTTTTTCTTTTCAGTGTTGTGTACTAATCATGTTTATCACAAGAATTAATGATCAGAAAATTGTGTTGTTTTCTTTCTATTCTATCACTTTTATGTTACTTTTGTTGATCCCTTTTTTTTTTTTTTTTTTAAATTTTTTTTCAGTCTCTAAATTGTGGTCGTTAAGTTTTGAGATGGTTGGCTTTACAATATTTTAGTAGTGGAAAGCGTTGAACTAAATTAGTATATACAGTCAACATTCTTTATTCTTAGGTGAGGTTGTATTATGCAGAGTTTACTTTTTGTTATATGACAAAAGGCGGTTTATGTGATATCACCACAATAATAAAATATTTAGTAGATTGACAATTTCTTGGTCCTTAAATGTTGAACTCAAAACATAGATTAGTAGAAGATAAGAATTTCGGTGTTTTGTGGCTTAATTAGTTTATTGGCATTAGTTAGAAGATAATGTTATATTAAAGTTCCACTTTCAAGTAATGCAACATGCACTTACGGCAAAGATGAAGCATGATGTATATTATAAGATTATAATTATTGAATGATGACTAATGAAAGTATATAGTAAGTACATATATGTTTGTTGGTGTGACAAAAATGAAATTGATTGTGATTATCATCATTTAATTAATACTAGAATACATAATTAGCTAGCTAATCAACGTTATCTCTTACTTTTAGGTGGCCGTGGCATAAATTTGCATCTACTTAATTATGAAAATTACTTTGACATCTTTAAATTTTTATTTTCATAGTTATTTTCTTCATCTAACGCTAGACTTCTATACAGAGTGTATTCACTGTTTCTTCCTGTTGGCCTCTAATATTCACAATTTTCAGGGAAAAAAAAAATGAAAGTGAAACATGATAAACATGGAAAATTTTGAAATATGCTCCTCTTTTTCTTACTCCCTCACATTCAAAACGTGAAAACTATATATATGTCCCATCATTTTCAACCTCTTTTTCTGAGAGTAAATTTCTTGCATTAAGATAATTCTTTCAATGGGTTTTCTAGTTAATATCTTGACTAAGAAATTTTGTCATCTTAATTAGCATGATTGGAAAACGAATTGCTTTCAAGTTTCACCATTTGAGACACGGCCAACACCACACAAACTAATCACCATCTTATACAAAAAACAAAAGCTATCACATTCACTTATTTAAAGATGTAATAAATCTTATTAATTCCCCTTCTTTTCATTATCTATGCTATCACAAAAAAAAAAAAAAGAATTCCATATTTTCTTTGGTGCAATTTGCATTAACCTTATGCCATAATTTTGCATGTCATCTTTCTTTCTTAGACATCTATATAGAGCTCCTCAACACCCACCTTCAGACATAAAAGTCTCTCCTCTTCTTATTCTCTAATCACATTACATTACATCTTTCATTTTCCCTCTTTTTTTGTTTGTTTGTTTATTCTAGATTCAAAAATATTCAATTTTCCCAACTCAGTTTGTGTACTACAGGCAAGTAATTCATATCCAAAGGATTCTTTTGGTCATTGTACAATATCCTATTTGATTGATCATCACCAAACAAAAAAAAAAAAATCAACACAATGGAATTTGAGCTCTCCAAGTCCAAGCTCTTTCTCTACATCCTCGTACTCTTTTTCTTTGCATTCCAAACGACAGCCAGAAGAGCCCAAATGCTCCCATTACCAAGCGACAACTTCATCACCATACTTGCCTCAGACGACACCGAACCCTTTCTCACAAACGAGAACCCCATCATTCCTTCCTCAAACGACACTGAACCCTTACTCACAAACGACAACACCACCATACTTGTCTCAAACGACACTAAACCCTTACTCACAAACGACAACGACACCACCACTACTAATACCCACGACACCAAACCAATCTCTCATGAAGTAGCATCACTTTCTCCACAATACTTCACTTCTTCTCCTTACTCTCAAGAAGTTGCTAAAACAACCGACGATTTCTTCACTCCAGATATAATCCAAAATCCCACGTCGTCTCCTCCACAATACTTCGCTTCTTCTCCTTACTCTTAAGAAACCGCTGAAGCAAACGACAATTTCTTCACTCCTCTAGATACTCAAAATGACATGTCGTCATTTTACGCCTCTCTTAAAGCTCCGGCGGCCACCGTCGATGATGATACGTGGGAAGTTTTGAACTTGGAGGAAGATTGGATTCAGAAGAGGATAAACAAATGGGTTGGGTCTCAGGACCCAGAAGACTATTGGGCTGCTGAAACAATTCAGGCCCAGGCCCAAGACAACCCTTCTCCAGTTAAAGCTCAGCGTGCTGGATCAGAAGAAAAGTTCCAAAAAACTCAAGAATGAGAGGAAGACGCAACGCGTGAGAGAAGGACGCGCAAGAGGCCAAGCTGGTTTGAAGATTTCGAGATGGGGAAAACCGGTTGAGAAGTGTGGAGCGCGGCTGGGTTTGTTAGCAAATTGTTATTTTGTCACTGTATTCAATAATTCTGTTAGTGGGGAATTCAGGAAAATGGGAATCGAGTATAAAGGGAACCTTTGTCCATATGGGAGATTATCATGTAATTTGTGGAGACAATCCTGTGGGAGTTTGGCACTGACTCAAAGAGTGTAATATTCAATACAAACCGTTTACGTTTGTATCATTGGTGCTTTCATTGAGAGGATGAGGAACGAAGATATAGCAGAGCTTATGAGAGCTATGGAGGTGAGTTTTAAGCAGCATTCTGACGAACAGTTGGCGAAGTTCTCGTCATTATTGGAACAGCATATGACCATCACTGATCAACGACTTTCTCAGCTGGCTCAGCCACAGCCGAGCCCAGGTTCGACGATGGAGGTCACGGCGGGGCAAACCTACGCCAAGGCAGACGACAGTACATACAAAGGACACCGGCTAGACTACGACCTACAGCATCCAGACATGAACTCGCTCCTCAAAACGTTGCGGTTGGACGTGCCTCAGTTTAATGGAACCAATGTGGTAAACTGGGTATATAAGATTGAGAAGTTCTTCTCCTTACACTGTATTGACCCAGACCTGCGACTGGCCGTAGTTGCATTCCATTTGGACGGAGAGCCAGTAACATGGTACTAGTGGATGGAGAGGGGAGGTGGAATAACCAGTTGGGGTTATTTCCTATCCGAGCTGAGGAAGAGATTCGGCGCGCCTATCTACGATGATCCATTAGGACGGATCTCCAAATTGGTTCAGACCAGTACCGTAGCAAAGTTTAGGGCTGAATTTGAAGAACTAATGACCCGCATCACCGGGGTGACTGAGCACATGTTCATGAACTTTTTTTTATGAGGATTGAAGATGGAAATTCACCGGGAACTATTGATGCAACCACCGCAGAGCTTAGCGGAAGCCATGGCCAAGGCTCAGCTCTATGAAGAACGCAATGATGACATGTTCCAACGACAACGTCGTGAAGGGTATAGACAATATGAGGGCCAGTCCAGGACTCCCGCAACTGGGCATATAGGAGTCAGGGGCAACACGTCGATCACGAGCCTTGGAGCCCCACCATCTCGCGGAGACCAGACACCCCTGCGAAACTTAAAGTTGCCACTGAAGCGACTCTCGCCGACTGAGATTCGAGAAAAACAGGAGAAGGGACTCTACTTCAGTTGCGATGAGAAATATCGCTGCAAGAACATGGTGCTACTCATGTGCGGGGAAGACGAAACGGAGGAGAGCCAGGAGGGGGCGGCGCCTGTCTTGGATGAGGTTTCCACCGAAGAGGAAATGAAGGTTAGTTTAAATACCCTCGCAAATTCAATAAATCCTAGGATTTTTAGGATTAGGGCCAAACATGGAGTAGAGTCTATGGAAGTTCTCATTGACACAGGAAGTAACAATAATTTTATCCAAGAGGCTCTGGTAACTAGGCTAGGATTGCCAGTAAAAGCGTCCAAAAGATTCAAAGTCTATATAGGAAACAGGCAGTATTTGAATTGCGACAAGAAATGTGCAGACGTAGAATTAGAGTTGCAGGGGATTAATTTTACAGTGGACTTGTTTATATTGCCCACCTGGGGATTGGATGTAGTATTGGGAATGCAATGGTTAAGAACATTAGGGCCCTGTTTACATGATCATAACGAGCTCACTATGGAGTTCTAATGGAAGGGGAAGAAGGTGACACTGGCAGGGAATAAAACAGCAGTAGCTACACAGGTAACGTTCTCCCAGCTCAACACCATTATTTAGGCAGGCAGTGTGAGTGAGGTATTTACATTGGCTCCAGCCATACTAGAAACAAGGGACAGTGGGAAGCGTAGTGGAGCTGACCTTGAACACGTGGGGACAACCTTGCCAAGAATAGCTAAGGACTTGATCCACCAGTACAGGGCCGTCTTTGAGGAGCCCAGGACACTTCCACCTGTACGCCATATTGACCACAGGGTACACTTACAACCGGGAAGTACGCCAGTCAACGTTAAACCCTATCGTTACCCATATTTCCAAAAGGATGTTATGGAGAAATTAGTCAAGGAAATGCTAGAGTATGGCTTCATTCGCCACAGCAATAGCCCATATTCCTCCCTTGTGTTGTTGGTAAAAAAAAAAAAGGATGGGTCGTGGCGATTTTGTGTTGACTACCGGGCCCTCAATGCAATTACCATTAAAGACCGGTTTCCGATTCCAACCATTGACGAGCTACTTAACGAACTCGGAGGGGCGGTGGTTTTTTCCAAGTTGGACCTGCGGGCTGGATATCACCAAATCAGAATGGACCGGAGGGATGTGCACAAAACCACTTTCTGAACTCATGACGGGCATTACGAGTTTGTTGTCATGCCATTTAGACTTTCAAATGCGCCCTCCACTTTCCAAGCCGCCATGAATAAGGTTTTCAAACCATATTTACGGAAATTTGTTATTTTTTTCTTTGACGATATATTGGTTTATAGCAAGAGTGAGGCGGAACATGTGCAACACTTAGAGATAGTGTTGAACTACCTCCAGTCTAACAGCTTCTTTGCCAAGGGAAGCAAATGTACTTTTTTCCAGGAAACCATTGAGTATATGGGCAATTTGGTATCCCGGGAAGGTGTGCGAACAGACCCAGCAAAAGTAGAG